TTGTCACAGCAACGACATGATAGTGAAGGGATGGTTGCGGGCTATCTCTCTGTGGAACGCTGGGGATTCTCTGATCGTCCCAAGTCTATAAATCAAACTCTAAAATTAGCATTTTTCCTGGTGAGTGAATAGTATGTCTATCATTCAAACACAATCGTAAATGTTCACCAGCAGTAGTGTAATGCCCCCCCAGCACATTTAACAACATGAGCATCATTGAATGCTGCAAACCTCTTTGATTGATTTCAAATGTCACGCTGTCTGTGATATTTGAGAGTGCAATATTTCGTAGGAGATATGAATGCAGATTTTAGGCCATCCTTGAATGGAGATATCAGGTCACTCAACAGCACTGTGTTTTATTTTTGTCACACATGTATTGGGTTTCCCCACCAGGCGTCTAAAAATAGATAAAACATTGAAGAAAAAAAAGGAAGGGAGAGGCAGTTTAGTGGGGAGTGGGAGGGAGGAAGAGGAGAGAAAAGAAGAATGAGCAAGTGAAAGACTAGCCCGCTCCTTCTCTTGTGTCCTCTCTCTTCTGGAGTGGATCGATCACGAAGACTCATAGAGGGTCTCAATGTCGAGACCACCATAAAGTGAATCCTTCATTACACACTGCCAGTGGCCAAGCCTTTTTTGGTGTGTGAGTGCAAATTGAAAGCTCTAGAAATTGGATGAAGCCATATTAAAGAGCAAATCACTGGAAAATGGCCTGTAATAGTATATGACAGATTTATGCGTTTAGCTAAAGCTGTTTTATGAAATATTATCAATATATATTTTAAAGCCTTGTCTGCTTCAATTTACACGCGCGCGCACACACACACACACACACACACACTGCCCTTTCCATAGACATCATGATACAAATTCAACCCTAAACTTACCCCTTAAATGGATAGTTCACCCAAAAATAAAAATTAGCCAATGATGTACTCACCCTCAAGCCATCCTAGTTGCATATGACATTCTTCTTTTAGACGAATACAATCTTAGTTATATTAAAAAATGTCCTGGCTCTTCAAAGCTTTATAATGGCAGTGAATAGTTGTTTCTGATTTGACGTCCATCAAAGTGCATCCATCCATAATAAAGGTGCTCCACACGGTTAAAAAGCCTTCTGAAGCGAAGCGATGCGTTCGTGTAAGAAAAATATCTATATTTAAAACTTTATCGACTAAAATAACTAGCTTCCGGCACCTAGGATGGCTTGAGGGTGAGTAAATCATGGGGTCATTTTCATTTGTGGGTGAACTATCCCTTTAACCAACCCAACACAGAAAACTTTCTGCATTTTTACATTTTCAAAAAACATCACCTACAAGGACAAGGATAGTCCCCATAACGTAAGGTTTACCAGGACACGTACACACTCACACAAACACACACACACACACACACGCCCAATGTTAACCTAAAAGTGTTAGATTTAATATAAAGGGATAATTCTGTAATTTACCCACCCTTTATTTATATATTTATTTAATTATTGTCCATACAATGAAAGTCAATGAAGTCTGTGGCAAGTAGGGCGAGGCCAAGAGCCGTGGGAGGCCAGTGGCGCGAGTGTTAATGAGCGTCATCGGTGCGCCACACCGGTCTCGAGTCCCACAGAGGAGCTAAAGAAGGATAACAGTAGGAATGACGACAGTGGAAGACGAGAGAAGACCAGGCCTGGGACTTTATGTTGTTGGTTTATTTTAAAGGTGCATTGCGCAACATTTCATGTTAAAAATACCCGTTTTTCTAACCCATACATGCTTAAACAATTGCCTGATGGGCTGAATGAGCCCTTCTCTGATCACTGCGATTGCCTCTACAATCCTGTACAGTAAAATAAATAAGAGGGATTCGGGCCGGAAACGTCATCCGCGTTCACGCTCCCCTGGCTATGTCTGGCAGGTTTGTGTATTCGCCGCCATTCTCCGTATTAGCGAAGACAACTCGAGCGACAAAACTTCAGTCAACTTTCGACAAAAGTAGAAGATGGATTCAAAGAGACCGGCTTGTAGTTCATAAACCCCAACGCAAACTCCACGCAAGACAAAGACAGTAAGGCAGTTTCGCTTGTCGCCAGAGGGGGGCATAGTTCTGCAAAAACTCAGAGAGGTGCGCAATGCACCTTTAATTGTATAAGGCAAGTTGTCCATGAGGGACTGTCGCTTTGTTGTTTTATTTTATTATTAAAGTTACGTTCACCGTTTGCCGATTCCTATAACCTTCTTCCCTGGACTTGAACTTCGTTATAGTCTAACTTCTATTCTTCAAATTATATTTTTAGTTCAGTCATGCAACTCTAGATGGCGCTGGCTGATAGGTCTGACATACAATCTGCAATCAATCACTCTATCACAAGCTGATTGGCCTCTACTGATTCTGCAGTGAGATTACTTGCTCAACATTAAAATAACCTGGTTCATTGTCCGCTGTAAATGTTCAGTGTACCCTCCACGTCCCCCAGCTCCACCTGCCTAGATCTGCTACGGGATTTTGTCTATTCACTCAGCAGCAGCAGCAGCAGCATCTCTTACATGCTCACAGCTGCATGTCTGTGTATATTGGCAGTAGCAAGTCCACACTTGCTCTGCAGAAGCATCATGCGTAAGATCTATTCCCTCAAGACCAAATACATTAACATTTGTCATATTCAATTAACTCAATAATTATTCAATTCATATTCATTAACATGCCAAAACTATTTAGAGAGTTGTCAAGATTTAACTACTTTTGAGTCCTGCAGAAGAAAGTCATACAGGTTTGGAATGACACATGGATGAGTAAATGGGTAAAACTGTAACACATTTTTTTTTTACTAAATCAAACTGAGTACATTAGGTTACACCACCAAATTTCAGGCTTAGATCAGGTAGAAACAATAGCCTATGTAGGCTATTCTCCACTGTTTGGTGCATTTATTTGACCTTTTTCTTTCTTTCTTTCTTTCTTTCTTTCTTTCTTTCTTTCTTTCTTTCTTTCTTTCTTTCTTTCTTTCTTTCTTTTTATCACTGTCAGATAGAATAAATAGCAAAGCATAAAACATGAGATTGCTTCAGATATCTGTTGAATTATTAACCTCAAAATCTATTTTTCAACTCTATTATTGATCCTGATAGAACTGACTGAATGTTAAATGTTTTACTAAGACTGAGAAAGAAACCGAGGAAAAAGCGTGGGTGTGTGATTGTTGGTGTATATGCAGTCTGTTTTGGTATAATCTAAATGTTTCCAAATGACAGGCTTTTGTTTTTCACCTTATGCTTCCTTCTTCAATCACACATGCAGAAATGCACATGCTCCACAAATGCCAGTGCTTCTCTGCTGCATGGAGTTAAAAGCTCAAGGCTGTGCAGTGCTGCACCATGAACCACACACAGGTTTTCTTTATCACATAAAGCATAAAGGTTTATTACATACAGACACACATAGAGGTGTATACAACACACACACACACACACACACACACACACTCGGTTTCGCTATCTTTGTTGGGCCTCTCCATAGTCGTAATTATTTTTATACTGTTCAAAGTTATTTATATTTTAAATAACTGTATTTTTTTTTATACTGTATACTGTATTTTCTATTCCCCTACACTAACCCTACCCCTAAACCTACCCATCACAGAAAACGTTCTGCATTTAAAAAAAAAAAAACATAATTTAGTTTGTTTATTTATCCATTTCCCTCATGGAGAACGCTGGCGGGTCCCCATAATGTGGTGATCTCAGGTGTTACTATCCTTGTGGGGACATTTAGTCACTGTAACATAAACCTGTACACACACACACACACACACACACACACTCGCACGCACCTCACTGCAGTGTTATAAACATCTGCTCATGTGCTGCAGTCTAGTGGTATCTCTTAAGTTTCCCACAGCAGAATTAGTTTTCTTTTACTGCAGTATAGTGGACATCTGACATCTGCGTTATGGACCTAAACATCTGTTATTCATCACCCTTTCACATTGCATTTCACATACAAATGTGTAGTTCTCCTTGAGAGTTAAGGTTATAGATATTGGGCATCTAAATCCTGTTTATGTTTCTCATAGCTTTTTTTTTTTTAAAGAAGAAGAAAAAAGAAAAGAAAAATGCATGTGAAAACCATTTAAATGCAGAGTAGAAAATGTTAGTAAAAAGTTAGCTTAATTACCTAACCATACCGTGGAAAATATTACATTTTAAAATGTCAAAGTAGGCCTATTAATTTCATATATCTTATATTTCTAAGACTGTCATTTAATGTAAAAGTATATTGTTAAAATTATGTTTTATAAGTACATTTTGGAGATTTTTGTGCTGTCTGTGAATATCCATTCATTTTACTGAAAAAAAATCGATTGGCTCAAATTGGTCGTTATATTAATTAACATTACTTTATACTTTAATGACATAGGCCTACAGTTAGGAACTGAAACATGTAGAGGCACCCACATGACCTTGTAAATATGCGCCGTGTAAAATGTTAGCAAAAATGAAATTAGTTTCACATATATGTATTTTTAATATAAGACCATACATATAGGCCTACTTAAAGTAAAAGTATATTGTTAAAATTAAGTTTTTGGTAGTACAAAAATGTGAATCTCTCCTCTCTCTCTCTCTCTCTCTCTCTCTCTCTCTCTCTCTCTCTCTCTCTCTCTCTCTCTCTCTCTCTCTCTCTCTCTCACACACACACACACACACACACACATATATGAATATATATTTATAACAACTTTTTTTAGTAATTGTAGTACAGAAAATGTAGTACAAAAGTATATTAAGTAGGCTTAAGTAACTAAGTAAGCACGTATATGCATTTTAGTTTTAAAGGACACACAATTTTTGTTGTTTAGGGAATAATCTGCTAATTAAACGTTAACCGTGTACTGTATGACTCACATGCCTTCACCGACATATGCAGACCTAAAACTAACTGTGACCTTATTGAGCCTCATCAACGTCAAACTGAGTGAAAGTCTCTCTTCTGTCATCCCATCCCCATTCAGCCAAATCACCGCAGTGCTGAAAGAGTGAGAGCGAGCGAGCGAGCGACGTGAGAGAGCGCGAGAAAGAGAGGGAGAGAACACGCGTGTGTGTGCTGTGTGTGTGAGTGTGCGTGTGTGTGTGTGTGTTAGTGTGTGAAAGAGCGAGTGAGGTAGAGAGAGAAGAAAACTGCGAAATCTGTCAAGGTTTTCCAGGCGTTTGGTTATTCCTCTCGACGCCTGTGCAGCGCTGACTCGGGTCGCGTGCTGGAGGGTGAGTGCTCGTGCTCTTCTTTCTTCATGCACATTACCGTCGCTGTATGAGTGGCGCGTGATTAGACAGCATAGTTTGAAGTCGAGAGATCGATTCGTTACGGTGCTTTCGAGCCAAGTATGACAGATCAATTCATAACCAATAGTCCTGCGGACCACGTAGCCTCCTATAGTGAAACGCTGATTTTTATTTATTTATTTATTTTTAACATGTATTAATTTATCATAATTTTCTCTATTTTGCTACCAAAGTCGAAATTGTAAAATGTGAGTTTTGTATCTTTAATTTTTTTTTTGTCGCACTTAGCGCGAGACTCGTAGTTAGATTATGCGCTCGTGTCGTTGACGGACTGGTATGTGTCATGGATGTTGCTCATTTCTCTAGTGCTGACTTTGGGAACGCTACGAGAAGAGAGAGTAGGCTACTGCGGTTGTGAGGATTTGACAAGGGGTAGACACGATGTTGTATGTGGGACAGGATTTGCCTTCATTGTAAGAAAGAGATAGTAAACCCTGAAATCAAATACACAGACTAGGCTAGAAATACGCGAAATAATGTCCTAATGATATGTAGCCTAAATGTGTAGAAATGTTTCTGTTAGGGTTGTGTTTAGAGGCAAGGGATAGAAAACATCATTAGCCGAGATAAGGAAGTCCCAATGATGATTGAGAAAAAATATAGGTGTTTGTGAGCGTCACGTTTGTCTGTATTCTATAGGGACCAAATGGTTGCAAAGATAGTAAAATCTGAAATGACTTTGTGAAATGACTTTGTAGGGTCCAACTAACTGTCCCCATGAGGAAAACCGGCTTAAAATGATAATGTTCTAATGAAAAAATGTGTCTGTAAGGTTTAAGGAGGATATGGAATATAATTACCTCAATATAAAAACAATAGAACTCTAAGGAAAGTCTCCTTTATGATGTTGTGTGGGAGAGAGATGAGGACAAAGTGACGTGTAGAATGGCCAAATTATTTATATATAGCCTATATTTGATCCTGCCTTGAGTCAGGTATGATTATTTTCTGCCTCGATCCTTGTGCCTATGCTGGAATGAAGATCAGTTTGAGCTTTATGAATGGTGCTCTGTATCTCCGTGAAGTGAGCTGAAATCATGAATGTGCACATGTGAATGCATGTGCGTGTGTTATTGAAAGCTCGCACATGCGTGCAGGCCTGCATGCGTGACTGTCCTCTGAGATATTTTGGGCCAAGGTCTTTCCCCAGACCCCTTCCTTTTTCTCTCTCTCTCTCTTTCTCATTCCTTTTGCTCTAAATACTTGAATACCATCTTTTCATAAGCACGCATTTCTCTGTTTTCTCTACTCATTTCCTCCCACACTCTTCCCACTTGCCAGTTGGCCTAACCTGCTAACAGGGGAACATATTGCCATCTCTACAGAAAACCACACTCCCCTTGGGCTCTTGCTCCCCAGTCGAGTGGACACACCATCTGTGGAACTCCCAGTACACCACGAGGGCTGTCTTTCTAAATGTGGTCATGTCTGGCATATATTGAACGCCCTCCTACGTAAGACCTATATTGCCCAAATCCCCTGGAAGAAATAAAGGACGACTGGATATTGTTCTGTTGTGCTGTAAGGCTAATAGGGGCCGATGTTTTAGATTGGTTGAGTTATGTTATAGTGTTTTTAATGGTCACAGCAGTGAGGGTTTTATTACGTTCTTTACCGGACTGCCAGATTTTCAGCCCAATGTAGATTGCAGCACTGTACAGTTACTTTACGTTCCTGTAGGATGTCAGTCTTCTTAGGTGGGCACAAAAGTTTTTTCTGGGATGCACACATTTTTATTGAGTGCAGTTTTGTTATACATATACAGTATGTATATATGTTGTACATAAATATAATATTTTGTACTTTTTTAGTATTTTCACAAACATGTGACAGAAATCGCTAACCCCCCAGAAACCCTTCTTGGTCAACATTACAAAGTTTTGGTCTGTGCGTCACCTGATTTCAGCACCACTGTGACGGACAGCTCCCAATTGCCTGTTTCCTTTCCCACCCTGTATGCCTTGATTTGCTCTCTTTTTATCATTTTCTCTTTCACTGAGTGTCTTTCTACTCGCTTCGCCCTTCACGTCATTAAAATGGGTTACATTGGTACCTGCACATTTACATTTCAATAGCTGTATCACATGACCAGCTGTTTCTGCAGTATGCACATTTTGACCACTATGATTTATTCATGTATTTTTAAAATCATCTCTATGGTATGACCATATGCTACTTGTACACTATTCACACATTCATATTTAAGTCATTTAAATTATATCTAAATGATTAAATTATTCAAATTCAATTGTTGTTAAATCATTTAAATATTATTTTTATTTTAATAATTTTAAATTTTGGCTTAAATATTATATAATATTTAAGCCAAAATGTAAAATATATAGGGCTGGGCAAAAATTAATCGCGATTAATCGCCTCCAAAATAAAAGTTTGTTTACATAATATATGTGTGTGTACTGTGTATATTTATTTTGTATATATAAATACACACACATGCATGTATATATTTAAGAAAAATGTGTATATTAAAATATTTATATTTATATATAATATAAATTATGTATATATACATTATATACATGCAAATATTTCTTAAATATATACATGCATATATGTGTATTTATACAATATATATATATATATATATATATATATATATATATATATATATATATATATATATCAACGATTTATCGCAATTGCATCCAAATTTTTTTTTAATTTTTTTAATATATATTATATTTTTATTTTATTTTTTACTGGACAATGAATACCATACCATACCATAGATCGAGCAACACAAGCAATTTTTTAGCTTGCTGGGTGAAAATATATATTTTTTGTTGACTTGGGCCAGTAACCAACCATCCAGAGTTCCCTATAGCTGCTCAGAACACCTTAGACGCTGTGCAGCAATGCCCTGGCAACCACCCACAACATCCTTGAAAGAGATTTTGCATATGCAAACTCTACACCTTCATAAAATGTACTACTATTGCAATGCTCATACACCGAGTGCTAATGCATTCTTCAGAGGAACTTCATTATTCACCATATTATCTTTCCTGCAGCCATTTTTCCTCACCTTTAACTTCTTCAAAGCTCCTCTTTTCTCCTCTGCTCTGTCAATGCTCTATGGATTATCTTAACCCTCACACATAAACCACCATTCACTACGAATCCTTCATTCATATCAAGCACACCCTGGGGCTCCCGACACTAACTGGAGAGGATTTCACCAATAATAACCCATTATTGTGTTCTTCTCCCCCTGCCAAAAACCAAGCCTAAAATTTTTTTTTTTTCGGGCTTCTAATCCAACGGCTATATGGTGCCATTCTGTGAATTAAGGGGAATTGTGGCTCTTCTGGAGGCATGCCAATCAAATCCTCACTCTTGTTCCAGAGCGTGAGTGCAAACCGTGTAACAATCCAGGAGGCATTACATTGCAAAATCTTTCCAATACTATTCACGTTCAATATTTATTGCATATTGTTTCTGATTCTCTCTTTCCGTATTTACCTTCAAGCTTTGATGTGTCAATCTATTCAGCAGATATAACGCAGTACACAGCTGTGATGTTTCACTGCTAGCTAATGATCTGTTTGTGTAATCGCCTATTTGTCAGAATACAGACCTTTTTAGGGGCTAGTTGATAAATAGCTAGCATTGCGCCATGGCACAGTGGGTAGTGCACGGGCTCACATGGGGTGCAGAATCCAGTTTGTGTCCCAATCTCATTCTCCCTCTCTCTCCCTTGCACTTTCCTGCTATTCCGTCTTGTTCATTAGAGGCAAAAGCCATAAAAATAAAATAACTAATGATTTATAGTGTCTTTAAGCACTCATATAATTCTGAAGATATGTCTTACTGCACGCTTTTGCCCCTAATCATTTTAGTCATACATTATTTAAAGGACACTGTTTGTCCTTCATCTGTTTGTTCTGTTGATGAGTCACACACTAGTTCAGTAGTCGATGGAGGGGAATTTTTCATCAAGCCCTTCAGGCACAGCTAATATAATAATTTTTGACCTATAGTTATTATAGTGTACTCTATTTGCCTTAATTGGCAAGTGGTTGATATTAAAACAAAACCCAGTAAAACAATTCATGAGTTTTTCCACATGAGTACCGCTTTTGCACAAATTAAGAAAGAATTATTCATCGGGAAATGGTTGTTTCACCTCTTTGCAGAGACATAAGTTGTTGAACAATTTCTGAATGGTTCAAATTGAGTAGAATTATTTTATTTATATTTAATAATTGCGACTACTCAAGTGACTAAGTTGGTTTGAAAGCAGCAACATTATTACATACAAATATCAGTTCATTTTTCTGCTCAATTTCTCAGCTCATGGGTTCGACTACACACACACACACACACACATAGTGACAGGATAGAATTGCTTATTTATAAGGTTATGTGTTATTTTAAGTGTTTTTGTTTATTTGTTTGTTTATTTATGTGATCAGACCGATCGTTTATCGCCCATAACATACACTAGTGTTCAAAAGTTCAGGTCAGTAAGAATATTTTTAATGTTTTTAAAGTCTATTATGCTCACCAATGCTGCATTTATTTGATCAAAATTTGATCAAATATTTTGTAATATTATTAAAATTTAAAATAACTATTTTCTACTTTAATATATTTTAAAACGTAATTTATTCCTGTGATGGAAAAGCTAAATTTTCAGCATCATTACTCCAGTCTTCAGTGTCACATGATCCTTCAGAAATCATTCCAATATGCTGGTTTGGTGTTCAATAAATATTTGTAACCAGTATACTGGTTACTATTCAATACTGAAACCAGTTATGCTGCTTCGTATAATATAGTTCAAAAGAATAGCATTTATCTGTTGTAACATTAAATGTTTTCACTTTTGATCAATTTAATGCATCCTTGCTGAGTAAAAAAGAATTATTTATTTTTTTATGTTAGTGTAACTAGAGATCACAATATTACTGGGGTGTTCTTGTTTGACTAGGGCCAGTAACCAACAACCCAGAACACCATTGCAACCACATAGGCAAAGCCATTTATTTAATTGCATGTTTGTATGTTTATTTATTTATTCATGTTCTTCTCTCCCCTCTTTTTAGATGAGTTCATTTAGCACCAGGGCACTGACGCTTCTGTCGTCGGTGTTTGGGGCGTGCGGGCTGCTCCTGGTTGGTGTGGCTGTGTCGACGGACTACTGGCTGTTAATGGAAGAGGGCATTGTCCTGCAGCAGAACCAGACCAATGAGGTGAAGATGGCTCTGCATTCTGGACTCTGGAGGGTCTGTTTTGTGGCTGGTAGGTACCATTACTGATAGAGCTGCATCCTCTTCTATCACCTGACCAGGGGTGCGTTTCCCCAAAGCATCGTTAACCAACTATGGTCACATGTTCCGTCATTACCAACTTAGTTCAACGATTTGCCGTTTCCTGAAACCATAGTTCCAATGAACATTCACATACAGCATCGCAAACTTACATGGGTGTAACTACAGCTCTCGACCTGTGGTTAGAAGCATATTTTCTTGTTAAATGACACATGGACTTAAATAGATCATGCTATTGAGCACAATAAGCAACCTAACATTCAGTACATTCTTTGGGCCCTATCATACACCCAGCGCAATGCGGAGCCAGGCGCGACGCAAGTGTTTTTTGCTAGTTTCAGCCTGACGCAGTTATCATTTTCACGTCCTGCGCCATGTTGTTTAAATAGCAAATGCATTTGCACCCATTTGTCTTGGTCTGAAAACGAGGTGTGTTCAGGCGCATTGTTGACGCTTTGCTATTTTGAGGCAACTGAAACCTGGTCTAAAGTCAATGGCGCAATATTTTTTTGTTATTTAAAGAGCGTGTTAGTAATGTACGCCTATAGGCGTGTCCACAACGCGCGTTCTTCTCTGCTTATTACACACACAGGGACACAAACCAGCCAAATATGAAAAATAAAAGCATCACAATGTAAAAGATTATTATTGTGTACATAAAGATATGGTGGAATCCGGCTTGTCCCGTAGATGATCTGCTTGAGATGAGACTCTAATTGGTTTATTGCACGTTACGCCCAAAACACACCCATTACTCATTAAGAGAATAGGGACGACCCTTTTAGACCATGCGCCGGGCGCACCGACCAATTTTTTCCTGTCGTTAAACTAGCAAAAGTGGATTCAGACACGCCCTAAGTGCACTCGCTTTAGACCATGCGCTTATATTGTTAAAATAGGGCCCTATGTCTTTCATTCTAGTTAAATATATATACATATGTATTCAACTAGCAGATGTTATTACTCCTCCACCTGTGACAGTCCTATGTTGTTGAACAAATGTGGTTCAAACAACAGAGAGGTGCAATCATGTTACCACGGTTTCGGGAAACAGTTGTGACTAGTTGGTTATTTCTCCAGTGATGCATCGTACTAGATAATCAATGAGTTACATAGTTGTATGGGAAACGCACCCCAGTTTGTTGCTGAGACAGATGCCTGATTAAAGCCAAATGGCAAATGATTGTGGCGTCATGTTGTGTCAAGCATCAGACGTTGACTCTTGCATCAGGTGTTGCTCAAGTGAATCCCTTTGCATCTGTGTATCATCAAATGGCAGTGTCATCTAAATGGTTAAGATGCAGTTTATTTGTGGGGCGTCCTGCTGTGTTATGCAGCTGGTCTTCAGTGTGGCTGCACTGGTGTGGCATCCTATTGCATCACCCTCCCAAATCGTGTCACACATTGAAACAGGAGCTACTGAGGCTGTGTGGGCAAACCACTGCAAGATGCCAAATCAGTAACCACATAAAATTCCTAGGCTAATAAAAGATGCAATAAAAAACGCCTTTTTTGCTCCTATTATGCTATTTTAAAGGTTCCTCTTTTTTTTTTTTTGAGGTCTCCTACAATAGGTTTACATGCATTTAAGGTAAAAAAAACACTCACAGTGTCTGAAACGGTTCGATCAAGGATCCGGTCTCTCCAAACCCCTCCTTTCCGAGAGCTACTCTGCTCTGATTGGTCAGATGGCCCAGTCTGTTGTGATTGGTCTACCGCTTACAGCACGTATCAGAAACGAAAAACTCCCATTACCATCTGAATTTCAGCTCCGGAGGCTTCCTCAGCACTTTTATACACAGTTATATGTACAGTAACGATGGCGTCAGTTTTACCATATCAATTCGATACGAATCCTAAATCCTAAGTCCTCATCCTTTGGAAGTTCATGCAAAGTGGATTTGCTTTTGCAGTGCAGAAAACAGCGTCATCTCGACATGTCGACAACACAAACCAAACTCCTCCAGGCCTCAGCTACAACTGCAGTGTTTAAGGGGCTGTTTACACCTGGCCACTTCATGCGTTTTCTCAGATCGGATAGCTATCCGATTTATCAAAACGATTCCATTTACACCTGGTCGCATAAATGTGTTTTTGCAAAACGGATATAAATCCGATCTTCAATTCCTGCTGCAGATTTAATGGAGTGCACGTCACCGAAAGCAACAGATATTGCTGCATTTTATTGATCATCAGCTAATTTCAAAATCAAAGACAGCAATATGAGAGCGTTAACAGAACTGGTAAGATCATTTCGTTTCTTTACTTTTAAATGAAGATGATTGTGTGTGAAGCGTCTGCGACTCACTTTCACTCTGATTTGCGATAGTTTGTGGCGCGTTGGCTTGATGAATAGACGCTCAGCTGCTCATCTGAGGTGATGCGTGTCGCAGTAGCGCGTCATATCTGACGCTTATATTTTTTTAGCATTTTTGGGAGGAGTAAAATTTACATATGTGGTTTCAACAACCAGATGCATTTACACTTGTCCAGTTTCGTCTGGAATGCGGCCCAGACCTCTTCCTGAAGTGGTTTGAGCGATCGGATTCAAATCCGTCTCGAATGCGTTTCGGAGGGCATTTACACCTGGGGCCTCATTTATAAAACTGTGCGTAGGATCCTTACTAAAAGTGTACGTGCGCCCGAAAGCCAAAAATGGCGTACGCAAAAAAATATTCAGATTTATAAAACCGTGCGTACGCCAGAACCTGCGCAGAATTCACTTTATAAATCCCGATAAATCTCAGTCAGCGGAAGATTGTGCGCACACGCGTCTCTTCCCCGAAATAACCATATATGGAGCTTACAACGCCTAGTTTTACTATGCATATCCTCATCTGCATATCATTTGCATATGATTATTCATCCACGTGATAACATGTTTAACGGTATAGACATTAGGAAAATATGAAATAGCCTAATACGGATGTGCCGTCACATTAGCCTACATTAATAAAAATAATTTAGTAGCCTATCCTTGCCTTGTTTTTGAATAAATAAATCAAATAGTGTAAAATACATTTCAGAGAAAGTTTTCACAATCTTTTCCACTGACCAAATAGTATTTTTTATTGATTTATATTTTTAATGGAAACAGATAGACTGTTGTGCATTATTTGCACGAAACTATTTTCTCAGACAATCTTCTATAAGCAATTATCTCTTTAGTTAAAATATTAAAACACAGCATGCCAGAGGAAAAGTGTTCAAAAGCATTGCATCCACAAGAAATATTTATATTTATTGAATATAAAAAATGTTGTAACTTCTCAGTAATGATTTCATGTTTAAGTGTTTAACTCCATCAATGACAATGGCATATTTAATCTAAATGTTTATATCAGAAGTAAAACAGTTTAAATCATTCTTTTATTTATTTAAACTGTTATTGTGAACATGCACTGTTTTTATGATTAGGACTCTGTCGTTAGATAGGCGTTAGTTTTACTAAATGGCACAACGCGCTCGCTGGCGCGGACATTTAAGAAGGGATGAATATTTGCCTCAAGTGATATGCTTGGTGAGTGAAATTATATTTGTATTATCTTTCTGTATAGCCTAAATTTTCTTTAGATTTTCTGTCTAAAAGTGACCAAAAAGACATTTAACTCCAGCTCACCATCGGTGTCGCCAAACTGCTCCGTCTCCAAAACGTTCGTACGCATTGGTCAGAGTTTGCGTGCAGGTGCGCACATTTTTCCGTCAAGTTTGTTTTTATAAATCACAACTTATGCGTCGGAAGTAGCGTACGACTCTTTCAGGGCCTGTTTTGTGCGTACGCAGCAGTTATAAATGAGGCCCCTGGTCTTTTCACGATCGGTCACAGAAAACGCATGAAGTGGCCAGGTGTAAACAGCCCCTAAGGGTCAAAGTAGATGTTGTTCATGGGCAGCCAATGAAGACCTGGCATTATGCAAATTTGTTGCAAACCTACTTAGGTTCATACAGGAAGTAAGACTGGAATTACTGACAACTCGTTTCAGACAGTTCAGAATCGGTTCTTTCTTTTGGGAGACAATAACTTTATTTATCATGCACTTTGATCTTTGTAGATCTTTAACCTTCAAAAAACGTAGCTATGTTACACACTACATGAAAGGTAATATCCGAATAAGCATAATAATAAGGAAAAGACCTTATATTTTTTCGTGTTGCAATTGTATATGTTGCTTTGCATGGCATGCTGGTTTGTTTTCATGACACTGACAGGAAGTGCTGAGGTGGACTGAAACGATGCCACACCAGCTGGTGGCAAATGGCTGACTAAGAGAAGTGTGAGGATGATGTCACCTTGTTTCTAGCTTAACCAGTTCTGGTATTTAGTTTGCCTGTATGCCTGTATGTGGGTGTTTGACAAATCACTACAGGAAGACGTTTTGCCCATTATGTGTTGTGTGAATAATTTGCACTCTTTTCATGCGCTCTAGAGAGCATATGATTTATGTGTTTAAAAATGATCTTTTATATGTGTGTGTGCCGAGAGGGAGGTCTAATGTGTCCTTCTTTCATGCACATTATGCAGAAGCGTCATGCCCATTTAGTGCCTCTTCAGGTTTTTGTGTTAAGTTGATTTTAAATAATAAAATGATTTAAAATAATTGAAATGATTGTAGGTTAAAAATATTTTCAAACTTGGGGCCACAACGGGGTGCTAGGTGGTCTGCGAAAAATTTGAGAGAAAAACTAATTTTTAGCAATGTCAATGTGTGCTTGTAAGATTTTTAATGAAATATAATTAATGTAACTATTCATTTATATTTACAATATTTATTTATAAATATATTTTATTCTGCTTACCAAAGACTGGCCAAAAGTCATAAAATAAATCGTGCTTATTTGAACATTTTGACCTTTTTTAACAATAAGAAAAAAGTAATCTGCATATAAAGAGAAATTATTATTTCAATGCTTCAGCTGGCAAAATATTTGCCTTCTCTCACAAAAATATTGCGTTTCGCCCAAAATGTTCGCATTCACTCGAAAAAGTACAGATATAGGTTTCCCTCCCTCCTCATATTATTTCCTTCACAAGTGTTTTGCGAGCAAATGCAAAGTTATAATTTTTTTTTTTTTTTTTTACTATCACCGTGTCGATTTAAAGGCTTTGTAAAGATATGCTGTAAACCTATTTTCCAGGTAATATTTAACAAATCATTTATGCCAGGTATTTAACTTATTTGTCTTCTTATCAACATTTTCTTACAAAATGCATACGTGAAATTATTTAGCAACCTTTAAAAAACTGCATGATGCTTCTGACTATAAGTGCAGTGTATAGCATGTCAGTTTTTTCGCCTCTCTTCTTAGTGTTTGAACCAAAATCATTGCTGTGTTTCTTTCTGTTTGTCCCTGTCTCCCCTACTGTCATTGTCAATCTCTGTCCCGCTCTGCCTCTACACCCTCTCTCTGTCTCTTTTTGTGTCCCTGTCTCTCTTTGTTCCCCTGTCTCTCTCTCTCTTTCTCTCTGTCTCTCTTTCTATCTCAGGGCCAGAGAAGGGGAGATGTGTGGCATCTGAATACTTCACCGAGCCAGAAATAGAGATCACTACTGAGAACACAGCCAATATACTGAGTAAGAAAAATGAATGCACTTATTGTGTATGAATACACTTGTGGTACAACGGTTTGAGTGCAAGATGTTAAATTCAATATAGTTCCTCTAAAGTGCTGTAAAAGAGAATATTCATTCATTGAATTGTATTCTGTAATTGTAAATATATACAAAAAAATCATGGGCATGACCTTTTTGTTTTGCAAAATCTAGATTTTAGGTTAAAATGTATAGAGAGCATATATTATATTGTATTATATTATATTATATTATATTATATTATATTATATTATTGTCACATTTTATTATATTATTGTCACATTTTATTATATTATATTATATTATATTATATTATATTATATTATATTATATTATATTATATTATATTATATTATATTATATTATATTATATTATATTATATTATATTATATTATATTATATTATATTATTGTCACGTTACACCGGTCAAATAGCACGACGAAGGAGATATACTTAAAAAAGGTTTTCTTCAAAATATTCGGGACACAGGAATACGCAGGAGAAAACACAAACTAGACTTCCACATACACGTTAACGAGAACCGACAACTATGAACTGAAACAGAGGGATATAAAAAACAAAGGAAACAAACAAAGGGAACTAGATGAACAGAATCTAATCAATGATTAACGACAAACAAACTAGAGAGTGTTTTGAACACAGGCAAACGAGAACAAAGGATATACACGTTACAATTATTATATTATATTACATTACATTACATTACATTACATTACATTACATTACATTATATTATGTTATATATTCTAAGCATTATTATCACATTTTAGTTTAGTTTATTAGTTATTTAGTAAAATTTTTTCAGTCTGTGTGGAAATACTTTTTTTTCAGGCTAAATGCTTTTTAAATGTACAATTTAAAGTTTTCAATATAATATGAGGCCATAAAATGCATACACATTTTAAAAATATATATACACACACACACACACACACATATATATATATATATATATATATACAGTGCCCTCCACTAATACTAATAATACTAATAATAAAAGTCCCCCTGGTCTGCTAAAAAAATTAAATATGAATGGTAATATACTTTGAATGGGCACTGTATATATATAATATACTGTACTTTGAGGGACTAACATTTCATAATTTCAATAATTTGTTGTTTCCTTTTCTCTTTAGAAATGGTGAGGACGGCCACCCCCTTCCCGATGGTCTCACTCCTCTTTGTCTTCACGGCCTTTGTCATAAGCAACATCGGCCACATCCGTCCTCAGCGCACCATCCTGGCCTTCGTCTCTGGAATCTTCTTCATCTTATCAGGTAAGTTGTATGTACTTTATTATATGAAAATACAATGTATGAAAATCTGCTCAAAACCCTTCTTGATTCTCATCATGTTTATCATGATGTTCACACTTTTGCAGCCTATAGTTGTGTATCCTCTTACATATTAGATTCTGTTGATTGATATTCAGTTTCAGTGGTAAGCCTGGTAATTCTCCACAACTCCGTCCGAAATCAGGCTGAGAATCCCACTGAGAGCTTTGCATATTTAATAAATGGTGTTCCCGATATCCATCTATGGTAATGTGCGATACACAATATCCATTAAATGGTCCTTTTTCTCACAAACAGTGATTAATAAGAGAGGTCTCTCTGATCCAGTCGACAGAGCTCTGCCTAACAGCTGTCATTTGCTCTCAGCTAATATAAACAGATTATTAAGAATGTTAAAGTGTGTTTAGATTTGACTAATTTGCATGCAAATTATGTCCTAAAACAGATCTGGTGTGCATTAATGTTCTGAAAGAAATCTTTATTGAAGCATTACTCTAAATACAACATCACCAATATATAAAGAATGATACTGCAGGGCTGTATTGATACCAGAAGAATAATTCAGTATAATTGCCAATTTTCTCAAGTTGTACCAAAACATCCAGGCTGTAGTGAGGAATTGTGACTTTCACAATACTCTGTGTGGCTTGAAGACAGCTATATGGCAGATCTATATCAGTTGATTGTATCAGTTGCCTGCTGACAGCTGTACAAATCAGCCTGCAGGAACAGATTTCCCATAATGGTTTAGAAAGCTTGTGTTTGAACAGTGCTAGAATACTGGAACAGGACAGGTTTTTGAATAGCTCTGTGGAATACTTGATTCTGATTGTGGAATACTGCATGTAGTCATATATTTTTGGATAATTATGTAATAGTGTAATAGTGTAATATCTGTATAATGACGATAAATGTTCACCGACGAGCTTTTTTCCCATGAATAACACGAGACGATGACGAGGCAACAATATGGTCATTAAATGATAACTGTGATTATATCAACATGCAATATCGTTGACGGAAAAAAAAGACGAGACTAAAATGTAGTTAAAAAATAAAAACTTGACCAAAATTATTTTGGTTGAAAGAAAACCCCTGAAATATTACTGATGCTGTACAAGCCTCTACTGCAAGCTTTCATGTTTGCGGTTGCCAGATGTCAAGAGTGTAAATCCACCAATCAGAGCTTTTCTGTCAAAAGGATACATTTTCTGCCCATTTTTTTTTTACTTAAAGGGATAGTTCACCCAAAAATTCTGTCATTAATTACTCACCCTCATGTCGTTCCAAACCCGTAAGACTTTCATTCATCTTCGGAACACAAATGAAGATCTTTTTGATGAAATCTGAGAGCTTTCTGTCCCTCCGTTGACATACACAACTACCACTTTGAGGCTTCAAAAAGTTTTTTTTAAGAGACTCGATCACTTTATATGATGAACAGATTTTTTTTTTTAAATTCACATTTAAACATTTGTCAAGAGAATCTCAACTGAACCTGCTTGACGCACAATAACAAACCTTATTGGTTCTTGAGGAAGCTCAAACGTGCTGCGTAACACACGAGAATGAACCTCATTTGTTTGACGCACGTTCATTTCATTGACTAAAACTAGACTAAAATGCCCAGACATTTAGGCCTTGTTTCACAGACAAGGCTTAGATTAAGCCAGGATTAGACCTTAGTTTAATTAATTCAGTTAAAACAGCTCACATATTCATTTTTGTCTGGGACTACACTGTAGGCTTTAACCTTGCCTGTAAAACTGGGTATTAGTTGACTAAAACTTGACCTAAAAACAGGACAAGGATGAATAAATATGTTAGAAACTAAGAAGTATATTTGACACAGAACATTAAACAATAGCAATTACTGTGTAATTGATCATGTCCCAGGCTATCGATTTTCCTCTTAGCTTTGCTTGTTTCATGTCTCTCATATCACTCCATGGTCTCTTCTCAAATAATAAAATAGTTTCAAATAACTTAAATGAACTTCATGACTTCATACAGAATGCACCAGTGGTTCTCAACTTTTTTTTTTACTGTACGATTTTAAAGTTTTTAAAGTCTTGATAAAGTTTCCAAACTTTTTTTTTTTTACAGAAAATATAATTCAGTGTGAATCCCAAAACAAACTAAGACATTTGATGTAAGTTTTTCTTTTCTTTCAGTTTTTTATTTTATTTTAAATAAGTTATTTAAATTATTAGAATATCAAATTTGTGTATTCATTTAATTTGTTTTCAATAATTGTTAGTAATAATCAGGCATCCCCCTTGGAAGTTTGCTAAGGTTGGACCACTGGTTGAGAACCACTTGGTCTCAAAAACATCCTGATCACAATGTCAAGGATCATTTTGTGATAAAGAACGACTGACTATATATTATCTTATTACACAACTTGATTCTGATTGGTTAGTCGCCGCATTCTGCATTCATATATTGTATAACAACAGTTACATTACTGTTCAAAAGGTTTAGGGTGAGTACTCTTCTTTTTCTTTTCTTTTTTTCTATTTTACAAAGAGTCCTCAAAAAATGTATCACAGTTTCCACAAAAATATTAAGCAGCACAGCTGTTTTCAACATTGATAATTAATGTTCTTGAGCAGCAACTCAGAATATTAGAATGATTTCTGGAGGATAATGTGACACTGAATACTGGAGTAATGATGCTGAAAATTCAGCTTTGCCATCACAGGTATAAATTACATTTTTAAATATATTCAAATAGAAAACAGTTATTTGAAATGGTAATAATATTTCACAATTTGACTGTTTTTACTGTATTTTTGTTTAAATAAATGAAACCTTGGTAAGCAAAAGATGTGTTTTTTCCCCAAAAACAGTTAAAAATCTTACCAACCCCAGATTTTGAACGATAGTGTACATTGTTCATTTACCCAGGTAACTGATTTCCTATACATAGCTTTGCTAATTTCATTTTTTTTCCCATCGTCTCTTTCTTTTCACATAATACAGTAATTTCAGCTCAATAACCTTGTATTTCTGTATTCACAATACAGCTTAGTCTATCACTTATTGCTTAATTGGAGCACTCGATTTGCACATCTACGCGATACCCTTTACACTCCAATCAAAACAATCAACATTTGCTAATGAGAATACAGTAAATCATTGAGTGGCTGTTAAAATCTAATTTGCCTCACCGCCTTCATTAGATGTCAGGAAATGAACAAAGAGCCAAAAGCAAGGAGTCAGCAGCAGTGGGAGAATCAGCTCGCCCCCCAATCGTTTGCAACATGTCCCATGTGTTGCAACCGATGTGGCTCTAATGCATGCACTACTGCAATTTAATAAACATAGATTTTGTGATGCTGGAGAAAGTACGACTGCAGATTCCTGTGGAATCCGCCCAGCTCTGTGCCGTGTAGCACTGCATCAGGTGCTAATGTTACATTTAGCTCAGCATTTTGTACTACAGAATTATTAATAAAGCACAAGACACCACAACAGCGCTGTTGCAAAGTGCTGAACACAGATATGCACAACGCTGCAAAAAACAAAACACCGACTGTGATGTTCTAGACTGTAGTATAGAGTAGTTTACCATTGTATAGAAGCAGGTACTATATCCAGTATGAATAGTCTTTACTCATCATCTTGCTTGGTTGTCCTGAAATATATGCCCTGATGTGACATAGCAGTTTAACATCAAATCTCTTGCATTTCTAATGTGAAAAGAAAAAATGTATGCACATTCCTTGTCGATATTAGCAGCATAGACAGCTGGCAGTGACAGACTGCGATAATGTGTTTGATTATGCCAGAGGCTTTTCCTTACCGCTCTCTCTCTCTCTCTCTCTCTCTCTCTCTCTCTCTCTCTTTTTTTCTCCTGCGCTCTTACCGCAGCAGAGCTTTCTCCATCATAACACAGCAAAATTTGAGCACACTATAAATGTTAATGTCTCCTGTTATGACAGGTTGCGTGTTGGTGGGCTGCTTCATCGGTCACTCTCCGCATATAGCTTTCAGGGAGAAAACAGTGTTGACTCTATAGTACCGTAATAGGAAAACACTGCAGTAATAACAACACTTTTACTTGTGTGTTTACAAGGCATATTTGCTTCTTTCATTTGCCATTTTCATTTAAAGCTTTTAGTCTCCTTTGTGTTTAAAATAGTTTCTCCCTTTACCAATGTGAAGGTGTAGCATACTTATTTTCCAAAACCCTTTCACACATACAAAAAACGCTTCACACCATACATGCATTGCTAAGTAACAACGTATGTATTGCTAGTACCCCAATTCTCTCCCAAAGACTTTAGTCCCAGTAAGTAACCACCTTGCAACCACACAGAGCACACTAGCAACCACATAGTTATCACCCATAACACAGTAGTCGCAAATTTTGCATCTGCAAGCACCACTGATATTTTCTTTAGAAAATGTTTCCAGCAACAAAAAAAAAAAGAAAAGAAAAAAAAGGTGGTTTGCTGGTCTTAGAGGGCTTGGCGAGGCTCAGAGACCAGCGTAAACTAGCTAAGACCCGGTTAAACCATCTAAGACCAGTAAACCATAGACTGGTCAGGCTGGTCTATTGGCTGGTCTTAGAGGGGTTTTGGACACTTTTCATCTGGTCAGGCTAGGAGCCCAGCTAAACACAAGCTTTTCCAGGTTGGCAGACCATCTTAAACCAGCTTAAACCAACACCAGCATACCAAAGCCTGGTTAGGCTGAGAGACCATCTTACAGTTTTTCTGAATTGCTAAAACACATTTCTTGAAACCATCACTCACTTTCTCAAAACCATAAACACAAAACCACATTCACAGAACCTCTGACGCAAAATCAAACAATCACCTCAAAACCATTTTATCTGTGCTTAAAATCAAACAACGCTCTCAGATCATACACACATCGAGTCAAAATTATAAACACTACAGATCATTAATTAGACACTACATCAAAATATGGAGAACACAGAATCCAAAACATGTAGGTACAGAAAAAAAAGTATAATGTCAACAAATTGTGCAATTATGTAAAAATTCATAAGCAATGCTTATGTATAGTAATGACAACTTACAGTAGTAAGGTGAATAAATTGTATGTATCCACTGCAAGTATAGTGTTGTACTGAATATTGAATAGTAGGCCTATCGGATGTCTGTATATTCACCACTTGCATACTGTGAGAATACAGTGACCCAACTGCAAAAGCCAAAAAGGTTCCAATAAAAAACTCTACATGAAAAGCATGTTACAGTAAAGTACACTCAGAAGAGTTGTGCAACTGCAAAATCAAGGTCAGTGAGAGAGATTTGATTCTGCTTCAGCATCATGTCTTCATGTTGGTGCGGCTGGAGGAGTTTCTATACATCTCAGACAATGTCATCTCTGCAGACAAAGGGAACAACGCTAAAGCAGATCCAGCCTTGACAGCATTTTCCACACCTGCTCTTCCTCATCCTCATCCTCTTCCTGCTTGTTCACCCCCTCTTCCTCTTATATTGTTTCCATCCATTGTTGGTTTCAACATTCAGTGCAACATTTTGAGTACATTTTGGGACTCTGAACTGACTTGTATTATGTACAGTTGGTTTGGTCACATCATTAGAAGTAAGTGTGAACAATTTTGAGTCGTTGTGTGTAAACAATGACAACTGTGTTGCAGTTGTGTTTAACGTTCGCCTGCCTGTGTTTAGCATTTTGAAACATAAGGGCATCACAGTGCAAAATGTGTTTTAGTGAGTGAGAATGTGTTTAGAGTTTTGAAAAAAAAAAAGAGTGAGATTTGCAAACAGTGTTTCATCTACCTGAACTTATTTAATGTTTTACAGAAAGAGTGATTTATTCGACAAATTGGTTTAGACTATTGAGAATTTGGTTCAGAGAATGAGATTTAGTGTTTTAGCAATTCAGAAAAACTGTAAACTAGCTAAGACTAGCTTAAACCATCTTAGACCAGCAAACCAGAGACAGGTCAGGCTAGTCTTTTGACTGCAGTCCAGCTAAACAAGCTTGGCCAGGCTGGGAAACCATCTTAAACAAGCTTTTTCAGGAGGGTTGTTTCCAATCTTTCTACGTTACTTTTTTTTAATGCACGATTTACCCTTTTTTCAGCCATGATTTACCGCCTTTATCCTCTTTCACTCTCTTTGTCAGGTTTGAGCTTAGTGGTCGGTTTGGTGCTGTATATCTCCAGTATCAACGATGAAGTGATGAACAGGCCTCGAGAGCCAGAGCAGTTCTTTCACTACCACTACGGCTGGTCGTTTGCCTTTGCTGCCAGCTCCTTCCTGCTCAAAGAGGTCAGTCACCAGCTACTGTTAACACTTGAGCTGACTGCATGTGTACTCTTATCACAGAGCTCAGTTCATTAATATGCAGCTGTGTTAACAGCTTTCTCTGCTAAACCAACAGCTCTGCCCTCATCAGTATGCATTAATTTTAGCCTAGCTTTTGCGGGGGGTGAAGGCTACACATTTCCGTTATGCTGCATATATGCTAATTCAGTAAGTTCAGTGCAGCAATTTGTAAATGTCAGCATCTAGTGTCTGCAGTAACCTCAACTTATATTCATATGATGTATATGCATAGACAGTGGGGTCCAAAAGTATGAGATCACAAAAAAAATAATTTTCAAATTTAAACATGGTAATAAAGTTTTAGGATTAAACTGAAATTCAAAATAGAAGCATTTTCACTTGTAGTCTCAGACCCTCTTATAAATAGATCCATCAAAGACTATAGTACAACCTACTATCGTACTGATAGCTATACTACTATAGCACAAACTCTAATACTGTTAAAAGGTTTTGGTTATTTGGTTATTAATAACAAACATCAAAAATACAAAGAGTCCAACAGAGGACGGCAGGAGGGGGCTTAGGTTGGGGACACAGAGCAGGCACAGACAACTACAGGATCCAGAGAGGAGCAGACAACAGGAAGAGCCAAGGAGGAGACGACGTAGGCAGAAGCCAAGGAGGGGATAACAGGAGTAGGGTGGAATCCCCAGCCAGAATCACAGGACGTAAACCCACGGCGGAGTCGAGGTACGGAAGAGCCATGGTGGAGACTTAACAGGTGGAACCGGAGAAACGACCGACTTAGACAGAGCCGACGGTGATGAAGACCCAGGTGGAGCCAAACAAGGTCCAACCGGTCTTGGAGCACAAAGCGGACTAGTGGCCGAGGCGAAGCCAGGGTTCCGGAAGACTGAGGTCGAACCGGAGGGAAGGCGGAGCCAAAGGGGTGGAGGGATGAGTCGCAGACGAAGGCCCAGAAGTCCATGGCGAAGGCAGAGCGACGAATGACGAAGGCGACGCAGGAGGGACGGGGAAGCCTGGTGGAGCCGTAGGGATGACAGTCCCAGTTGGAGCTGAGGGGAAGAGGAGCCACGGTTGAGCCGACAGGTTGATGGGCAGAGGTGGAGTTGCGGGCTCTGAGGTTCTAGGTAGAGAAATAGGTCGGCAGTCCAGGGTCGAGTTGACAAACAATCAAGTCAAGTCAAGTCAAATATATTTATATAGCGCTTTTCACAATACAGATTGTATCAAAGCTGCTTCACAGTATCAATCAAAACAACTTAACAGTGTTTGTTTATTACTGGAAAAGACATCCAAGTTTGGTAGAGCTGACCAGTGGATGATGGGTCATTTAATTTGAATATCCCCAACTGAGCAAGCCAAAGGCAACAGTGGCAAGGAACCGAAAAACTCCATCAAGTGACCCGATGGTGTCCTAAAACTCCATCAGATGACCCAATGGAGAGAAAAAAAACCTCTGGCCTCTGTCCTCCTCTGGCATTTATGAAGTAGAGGCCGAATTTACAGTAACTGTAAGATAAAAAGAATTTTTAGATGAATGCCTGGCTAAATAGATGCGTCTTTAGTCTAGTTTTAAACTGGGAGAACGGGTCTGAGCAACGAACAATATCAGGAAGGCTATTCAAGAGCTTCGGAGCTAAATGTGAAAATGCTCTCCCTCCTTTGGTGGATCTGGATATCCTAGGAATGACCAGAAGCCTCGAATTTAGTGATCTTAAAGAGCGCGATGGATTATAGGGCGATAGAAGATCCGTTAAATAGACTGGAGCTAAACCATTCAGAGCTTTATAAGTCAAAAGCAAGACCTTGTAATTAATACGGAACTTTATAGGTAACCAATGAAGTGATGATAGAATCGGTGTTATATGATCATATTACACCGATTCTTCTGTTCTTCAGAACAGAAGAATCAGCCCGAGGCGGATACACAATGCACCGAGCGGCCAACATAGGAAGGGATGAAGGGCTGATGAGAGGCAGTGAGGAAAGGGCTGAAGGACTGGGCAGTGCAGAGTGAGGGTTAATAAACGGCTGACATGGAACAGGCAGACATCTCTGGAACGGCCTCCTTGGCCGACACGGAACAGACAGAATTTTTAGGAGCGACTCTCTAGGCCGACTCGGAAAAGGCAGAGGAGGTGGGAGTGGAAGGCAGGGCGGGAACATCAAAGACATCAATAACAGTGCTGGGCAACAAAACAGGCTAGGTGCAGGGTGGCGAAACAGGCATTGTGCTCTTTTCATACTCCTCAAGCAACATAAGGGGTTCTGAGTTCAGCACACTTATTTCCGCATTGGTTGAAGGGATTGGGCTCCATCCCATTCCTCTAGTATCCCCTCTGCGACGGACAATGTTGTTGCCTCACACACCTGGTCAGACGCGTTGGGCTCAGGCTCTGCGGAGATATAAGGATCAGGTGTCGGCTCTGTCTCTGATAACGTAGCAGCCTCAGGCTCTTTGTCTGCAGTGGGCTCTGCCTTTCTGTCTGCTGGGTTGGTTGCGGTGGGTGACACAAAGTGCACGGAATGGGCTGTTGTGGTTTGATCCTAAATCTCGCCGATGGTAAAGGGGGACCCACAGTGAAACAGGACCCAGTCCACAAACGCCTGAAATCTCCCTCGAGGTCCGCGAGATCCATGTGTTGGTCTGTCCTTCTGTCACACACGGTTGCAGCAATGAATGAAAAAGAGCTGGATCTAAATGCAGCAGTTAGTGTTTTATAAAAAAAAATCAAAGATAACAAAAGTACTCCGGGTATATACCTCAGAAATCACAGGTAACACAACACATGCAAGATCTGACAATGAACAGAACAAATGTAGATTTTAAATACACAGAAACTAATTAACAAAATTGCATTAGGTGTAAATCAATGAGCAACCGTGGAAACATAAAAAAGCAAAGCAATGAAACTGAACTAAACCCCACCCAAAACAGAAACAAACACAGATTTTAAAACAGCTGCTTAATATTTTTTGAAAACCTTGATACATGATTTCTTCAGGATTTATTTGATGAATATAAAGTTCAAAAGAACAGTATGTATTTGAAATAGAAAAATCTTGTAACATTAGAAACGTCTTTACAGTCACTATGCATCCTTGCTGAATAAAAAGTATTGTTTTTTTTTTTAAAAAATCATACTTACCCCAAACTTTTGCACGGCAGTGGACAAAAGTAAAATGTTTTCTTCATGCCATCATGTGTTATATGGAATCAGCATTGGCATTCAGCTTAATGGCAGTTGATATGCTTTGCCATCTAGTCGTGTAGACACTCTGTAATAATCGAGCACTGGTAAAACATCTAATATAATGAACTATTTGTGATTGATATTTGTTCTTGAAAAATACAAAAATGTTTATTGCATAAAACTAAATGAATACATTCGTTTTGAATGGCTTTTAATGCAAAAAAGATGATTTTGCCCCCAGATGGTGTAGTCACGGCTAACTGGGTCATGTCAAGCAGCCAAACCTTGACCCCTTAGGTGGAGAGCATTTTTAATTGGCAAGTTTTCTGATTTAAAAGACAAGAAAAGAAAAGCACAAGCTCGATCCCTTACACTTTGTAGAATTTTTCACAGAGAAAGGTGCCATTTCTCAGAACATCTATTTGCAGTGATAGCTGTTAGGTTGTAGGAATAGTTTATCCGTGAATTTAAAAAGAACTGAATAACAAGTGATTTTGTCTTTCTAGGGTGCTGGGGTCATGTCTGTATATCTCTTCATGAAACGTTACGCCGAGGAGGAGATGTACCGGCCCCACCCTGCGCTGTATCGCCCCCGTCTGTCTGAATGCAGTGACTACAGCGGCCAGTACCTGCACCCCGACTCGTGGCCTCCTCCTCAGCGCGGACGCAGCGGCTCCGAGGTGTCCAGCGACATCTCCATTCAGCTCAACCAGGCCCCACTGCCTCCGCCCAAAAGCAGCGGGCCCTCCAATCCGCCCTCTTCCTCGGGCCCCTCCTCCGGGGCCAGCTATCACCTCCCACCTGCTTCTTCCTCCTCTTCCTCTTCCTATCCTCACACCATCCACTCCTCCCATTCTGGTGGCCACGCCCCTCAGTCCCTCCCAATGGCCACACCCCCATCCGCTGTCCCGCCCCCTCGTTACCACGCACATATGCGTATGAGCGCCTCTCCGTGTTAGAGATTTCCTCCGTATGCGATTCCTAAACAGAAATATGTGCATAACATTAGGTAAGAGGATCACCGGGGCTTTTAGTCCTCCAGAGACTACGGGAGAAAAATGGAGAAAAGGGTGCTAAGTTGAAAAGAGGTAGACGAGGAAGCACTTCACTTACAATTCTGTGCCTGAATGATGTTTTAACAGATTTTTAGAGCGAGAATAATAAGTGAGGGAATAGCATTTATACATATAGAAAGAATGTATGGAGGAGGAGGAAGAAAATAGGGGAAAAGTACAAAATACTGACTTGCTGAAAATAGTTGAGAACAGTTGTATACATATTTAAATTTGTATGTAAAATGTTTCAATCTTATTGCACATCCTAACAGCATTTTTCATCCCGTCATTCCTCATATATCATCAGCATCATGAGGCTATTTCTCCATTTCTTGTTTATACAAAAGCAAAAAGACACGAATGTGCCCGAAAGGTGGCGGATTTCTTTAAATGGTGTGGCAGATTTATTTCAGCGCACAAGATGCATCATTTCTGTACATAATATATCAAAAACAGCAGTCATCTAGTGTAGTCCAACATATTTACCTGTGTTTTATCATGTGGGCAAAGGTGCAGGGGGCCCGATTGGTCCTTTACTATCAATTTGTAATGTTTTTAGATTTGTACATCAGGGTAGATGTTCTACAAAGCTGGCTGATGTTTCCTTACTGGGATGTTGTACGCTTGGGCCCACGGCCCTCAATATGCCTTGTTTTCTTGTGCTCTCATGTTAAAAAAAAAAAAAACTAAAAAAAAAACAGAAAAAGGTTTAGCAGTGATATAGCACGATACAAAAAGGAAACGTTTGAACATATTAAACATATTTACCTTCACCTAGAATGGAGGCTGACTCCTATATGAATGCCAGAGATCTACTCTCCTTCACTGTTCAGTCATCATCTTAAAAATGCAGCCGTTACTTCTCTTTTATTATTAATATTATCACTACAACTATTAATTGAAATGTTTATTATACAAAATGAATTGTAAACGTGTTATATTACAACAGAAGCTATTGTAAATCAGTCCTGTGCGTGTTGCATCAGTGTTTCAGAGATCATGTTTTAGAGTAATATGGGTTAATGAAAAATAAGAACAGAAATCATCACGAGGAAGTCTTCAATAGCACAACGCTATGGTTTAGAGTGAATGGTTGTTCTGCCCCTGGTATCTTGCGCCATCTTCTGGTCAAGTATTAATAGTGCATCAAAACAAGCACTGAAGTATTAGCTACAGTATATGAAATCTGTATTCAATTCATTGACTAAAATGAGGCAGATGAGTCAGCATGTCCATACCTGGTGCCTGCGGATGCTGCATCGACTGAGCAATGCAGTAAAGACAGTATGTACAGTATGATTATTATACCACCAAATCCCTTTCCCTAATCCATAAACATTGACCTTTGTAGAAAAATATCCCTAATAGCTAATACATATTATCATAATTATCTGTTATGCCCTATTTTCATGCACAAACGCTTGAAATATTTTCCAGAGAGTTATATCTGATAGAGTTCATTATTGTGTGTAAATATTATAAACATAAATAGTTATGAAATATAAATAGTTATAAAGAACAGGACTGGCTCCTGCTGGATAATAAAGAAATACATAGAATAGCCATTTATATTATAGCCATATTACAAGTGAAATATGCAGAAGTGAAAGTATGATATATGGAAAATTAAAAGAGCGAGAGGAATGATTTTTTGATCCTAATATTTATTCAAGCAATGCTGATGGTACAAATTTAGTCTGCTTTTAAGTCTCAAGCGTGTAAATATCTGTTTTTGTTTCTCGTCTTTTGGTAATAATTGCGTTATGATGATCTTTCTGTTCTCACTGTTCCAGTTGACATTTTGACATTTGTTGTTGCGGTCTAACGCTGAGGGTCTGGCTTATAAATATGTATGTACCATTTTGCATGACATTTTTTCATCTTCACACACTTTTCCTCATTTTTTTTTTTTTTTTCATCCCTGTGGGCGGTCCTTTGTCTTGATTTGTCTCTCTCAAAGTCCCATTAAACTAAAGCTGCCTCTCTCATTTGACATGTCTTTTTCTCTTTTACCCCTCATTTCTCTCTTCTCTCTCTCAACCTTCCAGGCTTTAGTTTTCTGTTTTTCAGTTATCAGTTTTGCATGCCTTTCATTCCATAATGCCAAAGCAATTGTGCCTGATACTTAAGATGATGATGACAGTTATTATTATTATTACTATTATTATTATTAAAACTGTGGCATTTCTTCTTTGTAATCTGGAATTTGCTAAATAAAACTTAAGAAACTGAAAAAATGTACACATTAAATGACTTGTATTTTGTGCACAATGCATTTTACTGTACTTTAATTTGTTGTTTAAAAATGCAGGGCAAAATTGGAGATGATTACTGTTGTGACCCCATATACCCAGCTTAAATTACTGTTTCCATAATAATTACAATTTCATTATATTCTTGTAAAACAAGTATTTTGTGTATTTAAAAAAAATAGAAGAAGAAAATATGTAAAAACATGTCCAGTTACATTTCTCCCCAAAATAAATACATTTAAAAATAAAGTGAAAAAAGACTAGATTTTGCCTAAAGGCATTGAAGCTTTTTACAAGATCATTACAAATCTTTCCATTGTGACAATTTTCTAATTATTTTGGACAGAAAATAATCCATAATTACATTACAAGAACATTTTTAAATAGTATCTGATTATTTCTTTTTTGTATTACAGTAATAAGAATGAGCGGCTGCTTAATTATAGGATGATAACAATTTACATTAACAATTTTACTTATAATTTTTTTATACATTTTTAATTTTATACATTATTTACATATTTCTTCTGATAGTATAGGGTGAAATATAACCAGGGCATGTTTCTTGAGATTCACCCTGCTAGTTTTTGAGATTTTAACATTTTTAACAGTTTCACTAAAAAATAATTGAAAAATAGACCTATATGAGTCTAAAGTTGTCTGTGTTTAAGGGTTTGTGTTGTTAATCACTTATTGATCACATGGCGAATTTCAGCCTGGTGGTTTTCGTAATGTGGTTTACTGGTTTTCATTATTGTTTGACAACTATTTTACATTCAAATCATTTTCATCTTGCTATATATTCCTTATGCAGGTCGATGTAGTTTTGCATCAGAGAGACCTTTCTTAATATTCTTAGCAGTTTAAATAACACCCAAGACCGAGACCAATGCTAGCTGGTTTTATTAAAGAAATGATGTCTGTGGACATTAAAAGTATCTCTGGTAACACTTTAGAATACTGTTCTTTCATTAATGAATAACTACTGGAACAAATGAGTAACGCACTATTAACATTCTAGTAACTATTAACTAACAAGAAACTCTGATTAACGAATTAGTAAGTAATAGCGCTGAGTTGAGTTCACTATTAGCTAATCAGTGACTACTATTTTTGATACCTCACCGAAGACTACTAAGAACTTCTATATACAGGTTCATAATTAATATTAATAATGCTTGATAATATAAGGTAATGGTAACCCATTAGTAATGAATCAAGTGTTACTACATCTTTCTAAAGGAACTACAGTATTCTAAAGTGAAGATCATGGGAAAACACTAGTAACGACTCAAGTGTTACCAAATCCATCGGAAGGAATTATTATTCAAAATCTTACAAAACTCTCAAAGGCTTACAATGACTGCCAAGGTAGTTATCATGTTTTTTTTTTCACTTTAGAATACTGATCCAAATTATTAGTAGTTCCTTTGGAAGGATGTTGTAACACTTGATTCATTACTAATGGGTTAACATTACCTTATATTATTATGCATTATTAATATGAATTATGAATATACACTCACCTAAAGGATTAGGAACACCTGTTCAATTTCTCATTAATGCAATTATCTAATCAACCAATCACATGGCAGTTGCTTCAATGCATTTAGGGGTGTGGTCCTGGTCAAGTCAATCTCCTGAACTCCAAACTGAATGTCAGAATGGGAAAGAAAGGCGATTTAAGCAATTTTGAGCGTGGCATGGTTGTTGGTGCCAGACGGGCCGGTCTGAGTATTTCACAATCTGCTCAGTTACTGGGATTTTCACGCACAACTATTTCTAAGGTTTACAAAGAATGGTGTGAAAAGGGAAAAACATCCAGTATGCGGCAGTCCTGTGGGCGAAAATGCCTTGTTGATGCTAGAGGTTAGAGGAGAATGGGCCGACTGATTCAAGCTGATAGAAGAGAAACTTTGACTGAAATAACACTCGTTACAACCGAGGTATGCAGCAAAGCATTTGTGAAGCCACAACACGCACAACCTTGAGGCGGATGGGCTACAACAGCAGAAGACCCCACCGGGTACCACTCATCTCCACCACAAATAGGAAAAAGAGGCTACAATTTGCAAGAGCTCACCAAAATTGGACAGTTGAAGACTGGAAAAATGCTGCCTGGTCTGATGAGTCTCGATTTCTGTTGAGATATTCAGATGGTAGAGTCAGAATTTGGCGTAAACAGAATGAGAACATGGATCCATCATGCCTTGTTACCACTGTGCAGGCTGGTGGTGGTGGTGTAATGGTGTGGGGGATGTTTTCTTGGCACACTTTAGGCCCCTTAGTGCTACTTCCAGCAGGATAATGCAGCATGTCACAAAGCTCGAATCATTTCAAATTGGTTTCTTGAACATGACAATGAGTTCACTGCACTAAAATGGCCCCCACAGTCACCAGATCTCAACCCAATAGAGCATCTTTGGGATGTGGTGGAACGGGAGCTTCGTGCCCTGGATGTGCATCCCACAAATCTCCATCAACTGCAAGATGCTATCCTATCAATATGGGCTAACATTTCTAAAGAATACTTTCAGCACCTTGTTGAATCAATGCCACGTAGAATTAAGGCAGTTCTGAAGGTCAAACACAGTATTAGTATGGTGTTCCTAATAATCATTTAGGTGAGTGTAGTATTTCTTACAGTCTTCAGTGAGGTATCAAAAATAGTAGTCACTGATTAGCTAATAGTGTGAACTAGAATTCAACTCAGTGCTATTACTTACTAATTCGTTAATCAGAGTTTCTTGTTGGTTAATAGTAGTTATTAGAATGTTAATAGTGCGTTACTCATTTGTTCCTGTATAGTTATTCATTAATGAAAGAACAGTATTCTAAAGTGTTACCGTATCTCTTTTAAACATTTCAATTAAGCCACAGTTAAAGGGATAGTTCACCAAAGAATGAAATTTATGTCATTACTTCAT